GCGGGGAGGATAAGAGAGGCCTATGAATTTATAAGCAAAAGTAATGTGGAGTTTGAGGCTTCAGTATGGGGATCACTGCTTGCTGCTTGTAAGGTCTGGGAAGATGCTGATATTGGAGAGATTGCTGCCAGAAAGCTGTTTGAAATCGAGCCTGAAAGCTCTGGATCTTATGTTGTATTAGCTAATATGTTTGCAGCGGATGAACGATGGGATGATGCTGCACTGGTTAGGAGATTAATGGATGGTAATGGGATTAAGAAAGATCCTGGTAGTAGTTTGATAAGTGTTAGAGGAGATCTGCGCAAATTTAGGACTGGGGAGGGACATATAAGGGATTGCCGTGAGATGGAGGAGTTAATTCGTGTGTGCAGGTGCTTAAACTCAAACATTCTTACTTATGTTTAACATGAGATATTAGTTGGTTTTGAAGGTTAAGGCAGGACTATTATTGCTATGGTTTTTTTTTTTTTTTTACTTTATTATTATTATTATTATTTTTTTATAGGAGTTAATACAACATTCTCCAATTTATATCTCACTTCCACACAAGTGGAAGATGACCGAACGAGCTCCAAAACTAAAACAATTGCATCAAGTTGGTTATCTACATACCCCCACCCCCATTGAAGGGATCATTCTTCGTGTAGTTCTTCAAAATCCCCAAATAGGCAACAATCATGAGCTCGAATATCCACCAAACTCTTACAGTACGTGAACTTCTAGACTAGTAGCACATTTGTGAGTATGTCTATTGGATTCTCCTTCGTATCTATCTTCTTTAACAGAACATTGCCATCATCGATTTTACCCTTCAGATGCCTCAGGATACTCTTCATAGTCAGCCAATGACTTCGTCTTTGATCTGCAAGAACTTGCCCACAACACTAACCAATTGTGCAATGTATGATCTTGTTGAGAAATTACGACGAATAAAATAAAAACGACACATATCCAGAAGAACACAGAGATTTAACGAGGTTCGACAAAGATGCCTACGTCATCAGGAGCAGAGCAACGGTTTTTCACTAATTCAGAAAAAAGTACAGAATTCAGGATTCAGGGATCCCAAAATCTTGGAGACTCACCTAGGATTACAAACAAGACATATATAATCCTATAGTACAATATGTAATTACTTAAATTACCCATGTACCAAACCACGGGGTGTTACCCTCGCACCTCAACCCACATAATGAGACTCCCCCGATTGGACAAATCATTCCACCTCACTCTGCTCATGGGCTTCGCTCCAACATCTGTCCCATTTATGGTATACGAGTCATACATAACAAATCTCCACCTTGACGAATATCCAGCCTCTTAGGAGAAATACATATGCTCAACAAATCTCCACGTTGGCGAATATTCGACCCCTTAGGAGAAATACATATGCCCAACAAATCTCCACCTTGACGAATATTCAGCCCCTTAGGAGAAATACATATGTCGAACAAATCTTCACTTTTGCGAATATCCAGCCCCTTAGAACAAATACATATGTCAAACAAATCTCCACCTTCGCGAATATCCAACTCCTTAGGAGAAAATACATCATGGAGTTTTATATGCATCAATGTGGGTTGGGCCACCATGCTTCTACTGCACCCTCGCTGATCCCCAACCCACTAAATTTCAAGAGACACACCTCTTCAATTCCAAGAGACAGCTTGTTGAGAAATTATGGCGAAGAAAATAAGAACGACACAAATCCAAAAGAACATAGAGATTTAACGAGGTTTGGCAAATATGCCTACGTCCTCGGGAGCAGAGCTGCGACTTTTTACTAATTCAGAAAAAATACAGAATACAAAATTTAGGGATTCAGAGATCTCGGAAGCTCACCTAGGATTACAAACAGGACATATATATAACTCTATAGTACAATATGTAATTACTTAAATTCCTCATATACTAAACCGCGGGGTGTTACCCCCGCACTCTCAACCCACATAATGAAACTCCCCCGATTGGACAAATCCTTCCGCTCCACTCCGCTCGTGGGCTCCGCTCCGCTCCAACATCTGTCCCATTTATGGTATATGAGTCATACCTAACAGATATAGTACAAACTATGGCATATATTAGACTGCCCACTTCAATATCATAGAACTTGATCACATATTTTCTCTCCTGATCATCTTTAGGGCACTGATCTGAACTAAACTGAAAGTGAGATGCAATGAGTAGACTCACTAACTTGCTTTAGTTATCAACCCCAAAGTTCTTCAGTATCTTCTAAACATATGCTCCTTGCGAGAGCCAAATCAATCCAAATATATGATTTTCTTCCTCCTTCGATCGTTTGAGCCGAAGTGCCTCTTTCTTCCCCATTCTTCTAAGTTGTGTGGATCGTCTCTCCTTCCTCCGATCATTCGAGAGCAAGGATCTTTTCTTTCTTCCGACTGCTTGGATTTCTTTCCTTCTTATGATCAAATCACGAGCAACCTTAATCGGGTAAACCTAAACCTCTACCTCTTCCTTAGAATAATATGTGGTGACTTCGGATTTTTGTTTTCAGTCGTCTCGGGTTTCAATTACATGCTTTAGATTAAGTTTCTTGGATAATATTTATGTTAAAATTCTTAGAATAAATATTTATGTTTTTTATGGTTGTTACCAAGGTTTGGTCACATTATATGGTTTGGTCACATTAAACGTCGACTATCTGATGATCTGATTAGGAGAATATATGTTTTAGATTCGACTTGTGTTAAGAAAGACAAAGGTAGACCTAGGAAGACTTGGGCTTATTGTATTAAAAATGATCTTAATTTACTAGAACTAAATGAAAATATGACACTAAATAGGACGCAATGGAGAAAAGGATTCATGTAGCCGACCCCGCGTAGTGGGATTAAGGCTCTGTTGTTGTTGTTGTTGTTGTATGGTTGTTACCTAGGTGTAGAAACCTTACTACAGGAAACAATTTTAAGAAGTATTTATGTGTTGTTAGATTGCTGCATAATTATATGTGATGCATATAAGTTTTAATACATAATTACTATTGAAATCTTGATATGCACATATAACATCTATATTTTAAAAGCATACTACAGATTCTTCAATTCCTTGAGTATTTACATATCTAACGCATGAATTTAAAAATGAAGCTATAAAAACTTTTAATTTCTAAGTATTCACTAATCTAATACTTAAATCTACTATGTATTTCATAATACTTAGTGTATCTATGCAATTAACACTTGACTTTTAATGTAAGTGTACAGATTTGCTTAAATTAGATATATTTGTCATCTTAATATTCAAATATAATTTTATTCAGACTTTGAATATTTTAACACTTATATATACTTCAATTCAATATGCATCTGCAGAATTTTTTTTTTTTTTTGGTTCTTTGATATACTAGCATAGATAATATTATATAATTTATATAATAATATATTATATATATATATATAAATATTATATAATTTTTATATAATAATATATTACACATATTATTTATATAATAATATATTATATATATTTATATCTAAGTTTAAAATATAATTGCTCGTGTAGTAATGCGGTTATGTTTCTTCTTTTGCATATATTTGATTCAAGTTCGAATCCAGCACTCTACATCTATTTTTTCAATTTAATTTTAACGAACCAATTTCGAGCTAAACACGAGCGGAACACGAACACGAATATTTAAAATGAGCTGAACACGAACACATTGTTCGCGACCTAGTTTCGAACACGAGCTAATTTCGAACATGAACAATTTCGAATGAGTCGAACACGAGCCAAGCCTGAGCTCGCTCAAGCTCAGCTCGTTTACAACCCTAGATACATATGTGTTGAATTCCTTGATTTCCTCGTGTATATGCTAGCAAAGAACTTAAATTTTAATTTATGTTATATGAAAACTTGTACATATCTATATATGAATATGTCTTAGCACTTGAAATCATATGTAAAATTTCACACATTTGAATTAACATTGTATTCATATGTCTAACACTTTAATTTGATAATAGAATTTCAGATTCTTTTACACGCTTAAAGGTAATTATACAAACTTACATATACTTATTTTTTTCAAATCTTCAAACATTTATGCTGCTAATACTTTCCTTTATATACAAGGCTTTCTTAACCTTAAATATTAAGAAATATATTTTCATTAAAAGTTGAATGTAAACTTTGAATTTTAGGTGCAACATATACAAAACTAAGACTTAAGTGGATTGAAGGTAAATCTTCTAGTCATCACTTCATATGTAATGGTGCTTAAGAAGTTCGTTGCCCGCCTCCTGGATGGCACACTTTGTGGCGACCCTTATTCGAGAATTCTTTTCAGTTAAGGTGTGCAACAGAGGAGGGTCTCTTAGTTTCTTTTAGCGTACTTACATAATAATTTTTGTTCTTTCATTCACATTTCAAAGTTGACACACATAGATTAATTGTTATGAACTCATATATCATGATTCTTTGTAAAAGCTACTTTAAACAACTTGAAAGACAACAAGTATGTTCTATGTCTTGCTTATTTTAGCACATTTGATTATAAGTGCTTTGTTTAAACATATGATAATGCTACTCCCCTTTTATTTATTTCATTTTTTTGTATTTGAAATAAGAAACGCGAAGGTAGAAGATGTAGGACATATGTTTATGTTGAGACCCCATAACATGTGATTACAACATTCATTTGACGAAGATAATTTTAATAACTCTTAAATCCCATAATGAAATTCATTAATTAAATAAATCACAAGCATTTGAAACTTTACATAATTAACTCAAACCATTCAATAAGTTAAATTATAATATAGTAAATAAACCTTCACATTAACATATATATATATATATATATATATATATAT